GTAACAGAAAATTAAACCAGAGTCATCATTTCCATTTTTATACCTAACTCTTTACATACGGGTAGGCAGAAATTGTAGTACTACTTTTGTCATGTATTGTTTTTAACCATGAAAAGTCATTTCATAAAATTATTTGATATTGGTGTACTATTGGATTTAAAACAACCTTTCCACTGACATACTTCTTCATTAATCCCAGAAACTATAATCCCTTTCTCTCACATAAATATGCATTGGAGCCATTTTTAAAGGAAACGTGATGTCTTTATACTTTATATTTATATGCAAAAAAGTGAAATGCTTGCCAGGCTACCTTTCCTCCCCTTTAAAATAAACAAATGAATCAGACACCAGAAACATTAATTGGAAGAAAAATTCAGCAGAATTCCGATTGTACAAACCATCTGTTCTGTCTAGTTCTCAATCATTATGAACCTCTGATGATAAACATCTGGTGGGATTAAGCTCCCCCCCCCCGCCACACGGACACATTCGAGCTACAAAGGATTTATCAAGCAGTATTTACATCCAGCTTTACTTCACTAGGGGAAACCTCAATGATAATAAGATGAAATAAGAATATTTACTGGAATTGTGGATTTTACTCTAGAACTAGCAATATAAGCATTAGCTGTTGGGAAAGTGCTTTAGCTTTCATTTGCGATCATTGGTTTATCTAGCTCAGTATTGTCAACTTTGACCAGCAGTGGGTCTGCAGGGGTCAAGGCAACATTCTTTCCCATCCTTGTGTGGAAGTCCTTTATTTTCTTGGTGGTCACACATCCCTGGTTAGTTTCCAAAATCAGATGAGAACAGGTTTGTTCAGGGTGGTATCCATGGGTGCTAATTATTAGCAAGAGAACTAATCTAAAAGTGAACATTGTTATTACCCTTAATTATTCTTCTATGTTATCATTCCAATAAGTGAGAGGTGAAGAAATAGATAGAGGACTGGATTTAGATGAGTTCCTGTCCAAATCCCTACATAATTGTTAGCTTTGCTCTAAGTTTAAGTTCCTTGTATTAACTTAATGCTTGGTGTGATTGTAATGACAAATGTGATCATTACAGCATACTCTAAAGCAAACAGAACTACACTGCAATTAGTAAATAATGGTGATGGTGAGAGAAAGCAAATAGGTGATAAGAGGATAACATGATTAATGATTATGCTGAGGAAGCCTAGCAACTCAGTTGAACTAAGACTCTTCCAGTTTGGTTGTCTGGAAACCTTCAACTGAAGAAAGCATTTTTGTCTTTCTTTTGAGCATTATGCTGTCTGGTGCCAAAGAAAATAGTACAAGGATGAACAGTCCTTCAGTTTTGATAATCCGTTGGTTATTCATCACTTGTCCACAGGAATGGGATGGTGGTGGTCATGTTTTCTTACCTCTTTACTTTCTTCCAGGCTTTAATAATGCCATGTTCGCCTTGCTTGGTAATTCTTTGTGCTGATTTGGACAAAAGTACCCAAAGCACAAAAGCTCCATAATGGACAGCAATTCTGCAATGTTTTTCTAGTATTTTCTCCTAGAGTGATGCCACCAGAAATCTCACTTGCAGGTTTTGTAATGTTGTTGAGGCATGATCTACAGGAATTTTGAATACTTGGTATCCTGTTTTTGTTGGAAATTACAACCTTCTTCAAGCCTTCTCTAGATTCTACTCTAAAGGGTTTTTGGCTCTTCTCTGAAAAGTCATACTTCTCCTAAAAGGTTATGATCTCCAAAAGGTGTTTTCCCAAAAGGTTATAAATGCCATTTTCCAAAAGTTTTCTGATCCAACAAAAATTCAATAGCTTAAGTCTGAACTATTTCTGGGACAATGAAAGTGTCAGAACACAACTGTGTGCAACAACTTGTAGACAAACTAGGTGAGCAAACAATGTATTTTTTCCCAAGAGGCACTTGATAATATGACTAAGGCTTTAATCTAAAGCAGTGGTTCCCAACCTGTGGTCCGTGGGCCACTTGTGGTCCACAAGAACTAAAATATGGTCTGTGGTCTCACTGTTACTACACCATTGCAACAAGAGCGACTGGTCTCATGAAACCCTTTCATACTGCCAAGGCTTATTAAATATGGTTTTCTGTGGGCGAGCAGATAGTGACTACTAAATGGCATATGTTCTGTATCAAAAACTAGAGCTGATGTGGTCCATCCAATTAAATTTTCTGAATCAGCACCCAAAATAACCAAACCAAATCTAAAGTTGACCAAAAACTGATTTATAACCCTTTTGGTACTAATGTTGTAGAGTGGACCCTGGGCAAAGTGGTCCCTGGTCAAGTGGTCTCTGGTCAAAAAAAGGTTGGGAACCACTGTTCTAAAGTGATAAAGAAAAAAAAATGCTCAAAAATATTTGGAATAAAAAATGAAAACAAGAAACATTAGCAGAACTATTGCCGGAATTTAAGGAATCTAGTGTCATGTCTTGTTTCTTTGCTTCGTACTACAATTTCCCCATCTCTGCCTAGTCTGTCAAATTCCTGCTCTTTGCACTTTCTGCTCTAATTTTCTAGTAATGCTTTCAAAACTCCTCTAACTTCTTAACTGTCTGGCTTATTTTTGAAAAAACAGCGGAAAACTTTATCAGAGTCACAAATTTGAGTCGTTATTGATGGAATCATGAGAGTATGTTTCTTGCATCCTGTTGTGACACATTAATTAACATATTCCTTAGGTATTCACCTGGTTATCAAAGTATGGCCTTTTCCTCGTACTCATCATGGGATAAAATTTAGTATAACAGTGGTAGTGGAGGGTTATATTTGTTGTAAACATGCAGGTTTGGCAAGACAAATTAAGAAACAATTGCACAAGAGCCATTATAAGCTTTTAGGACAGTGAAGTCACTTCAAGGCCTTTGAATTTAGGGGAAAATATAATTGTTTGTCTATACCTTTCCATGAAATCCAACATTGTTTAAGTATGCACATGCACAGTTGCAGACACTCATCAACTTTGACTGAATATTTAGATACACAAAACCAAGGATAAGATGTTTTTTGGCATAGGGGAATCCAAATTCACACTTTTTCTTCAGTGAATCTCAGTGGATGTAGGTTTTGCCGAAATGAATTTCTCGTGGACTCTCATTTGGGGATGAGTTCTTGAGGTACTGGATTAAAAAGCAGCAAACAAGATATTCAATGGGTAAAGATAAATCAAAGCATAATTCAGTTTCAGCTGATAACGTTGTGGACTTGTCAGGCCAAATGTGATGCCCCCTTTACTCAATATTGTTTTAAAATCCCAGCTTAGCTGCATTCTCCAGTTCTTGTTACTCAGGGAATTCGGCTTTTAAAAACAGTGAATCTTGGAAATCAGAAATGGTTAATTGTGTTGTATAAATGCTAGTAATTTCAGATGTATTTTTGGAAGGTTCCCAAGATTTTGTGGGTTGTTTTTGTCCACAACTTTTGCATGACTTAGTTCTTTGCAGTTTCCCTGCATCTCCTCAGCTAGCCTTCACTCATATCACTGCCCTTGAAGAAAGATCCAGCTGCTTGTTCTGTGTAGGAAAAAAAGTGAGAAGCAACATCATGATCATCAGCCTCGTGCAACAGCATTTGGGAGTTAATTTTGAATAAATTATGCTTAAACAGTTTCACAACACTTAGCATTCATTATAGTTTATGGTTTTTGTTTGACTCCTGATATGTTTTACTATTTATTCATTAAAAATACACTGAGTGTGCTATAAGATTGGAAGCTGAGGAAAGTATGATGCATCTAGAATGATTCAACCAATCTTTTCTGTTACAGTTTCATTTATCCGCTCATTACACAACTGCCTTGGGCTTTGAGGTGGAAGCAGGAAGAAATATTCCCTCCAACTTCCCCTCAAAGCCCAAGGCTGTTGTGTGCAGATTCACATTATAGCCTTGGGCTGGGGGGGGGGGAGGCGAGGGGGGGGGGAAGCAAGAGGAATTGCCACTGCCACTCCTGAAGTTGTTGCGTGCACATTCACATAATGGCCTCAGGCTTGGTGGTGCGTTGGAAGCAGGAGGAATTCTCCTGTGTGATAAGGCATAGCAAGGACTCAATTGCTGGGGTGAATGGAGTGGGGGAGGCCATTCTTAATTCTCCTGGGCTAGGAAGCAAAGCAACTTCAGTTACTCTTCCTTCTATGGGTCAGGAGGTGAGTAAAACATTTTTTTCACCCTGGAGCATATACAGGGGTCATACTGTATATAATAAAGAGACCTAGACTTTATTTTTAAGAGTAATTTGCAGTTTTAAAAGTTTTCATTTTGAAAGCAAATTGATATGGATTAGTTTGACTATAGCAACTTGACCAATTCTTTCAGAATAGTGACTAAATTATGGTCACATTTCCAGAGTACTTTTGGAGATATCTGTGCTTCCACTGTTTATATTGCTTAATACAACAACTGTACTGAATGTTGGCTTAGTGCACATTTGTTTGTACTGTGCAATGGTTTATTTATTTATTTATTTATCATGTCAGGAGCGAACCAAAGAGTTGTATTGCATTAAAAAAAACAGTTTGCAAACTTTCAGGTGGTGTAGTACCAGGTAAACAGTGTAATTTCTCCAGTGGTGTAGGGTGCAGACACCCCGTGATAATGGGGTGTTACAAGACAGTGACATTTTCAGTGGTTGATACCAACATCCACTATTTTAACGTGGTGAGATGTGTTCCACACTGGGCATGCATACTCAGCAGCAGAGTAGCAAAGGTCAAGGTCAGATGTCTCTGGTTGTGATCCCCAGGTTGTGCCAGTCAGCTTTCGTATGATATTGTTTCCAGTGCCCACTTTTTGCTTGGTATTCAGGCAGCGCTTCTCGAGGGTCAGAGAACGGTCCAGGGTAAGTCCCAGATATTTGGGTGTGCTGCAGTGCTCCAGTGCAGTGGCTGATTCTCTCACTCCAGAAGCGACCAGAAGCGAATTGCAATGGTGTTACAAGACAGTGACATTTTCAGTGGTTGATACCAATTCATTTATCTTTGGATTTCTTTCTTTCTGAAACAGGTACGGAATGACCTCACTGGTGTCCTATATGGTGAAGAAATTGAAATCTCAGACACGGAGAGTTTTTCTAATGATCCATGCACAAGTGTCAAAAAGCTCAAGGTCAGTATAACTGCGTAGGCAGTTTAAGAAGCGAACTGGACAGTAGGAAAGAAAATCTTCTATGGCTGTGAAACTGGATGTGGGTGAAAATGAGGATTTTAAATTAATTGCACAATTAATTAAGCTATTATGATTATTAAATGTAGCAATAATGCAGGATTAAATATTGGCAGTATTATAACATTGGTGGTATTATAAGTGGCTGCATCTCAACAGACCAGCATTAGTAAAACAATTATGAATCAAGGTAGAAAAGTTGTATACATTCTAGAATTTCTTCCCCATGATAATGCAATTTGACAAGAGTACTGCATTTTTAAAAATTAATTCAATAATTAAATATTCAAATTGAACATTTAGACTAGGACTTTTGAAAATTGGAATTCAGTCAGCTATGACTAAGAATGTAATTGAATTGTAGAATGAGTGTAATTCGACATTTTAACTGCCATGGATCAGTGCTATGGAATCGTGGGAGTTGTAGTTGCACATGGTCTTTAGCCTTCTCTGCTAAAGACCATGTCCAACTACATGGTCTTTAGCAGAGGGCTGGTGTTTCTCCAAACTAAAACTCCCCTGGTTTCACAGCTTTGTGTCATGGCAGTTAAAGTGGAGTCAAACTGCATTAATTCTATTGTATAGAATCATAGAATCATAGAATCAAAGAGTTGGAAGAGACCTCATGGGCCATCCAGTCCAACCCCCTGCCAAGAAGCAGGAATATTGCATTCAAATCACCCCTGACAGATGGCCATCCAGCCTCTGTTTAAAAGCTTCCAAAGAAGGAGCCTCCACCACACTCCGGGGCAGAGAATTCCACTGCTGAACGGCTCTCACAGTCAGGAAGTTCTTCCTATAGATGCACCCTTTGTTAAACCCACTTATTTCAGCGGGTGTATTGTAAGTAGGACCACTTCTGACTTCAGCCATTAATCAGAGCCGCGTGTCAGTATTGGGCCACTGTTATTGGCTGTGGAAAGAAAACACCACTGGCAAATTGCACATATGTGACTAAGTAACTAAAATGAATACAGACTGAGTGGGTGGGACTGTGACCTTCCAATCCTCTAACATTGTCTTACATTTGTCTCATTGATCTAATTTCACAATGGGCATGTACCAGAAGTGTGTATGTATTTGAAGAAACCCAATAAACCCATGCTGGAATGAGTCCATATATGATGAAAGTCTCCATATGTATGAAAGCACTTTCCTTTTCCATAGCAAACATCTGTAAAGTCCAATTTTGCATAAGAAAGATAAATGCAGGTAATAAATTTGTGTATTCATATGTTAAGTTCTCTCTCACTCTCTCTCTTTGGCATTTCTAGCTTTACAGTTTTCACCCTTTTGCTTGCTTTGCTCACATGTCTGTCTTTATCTTTCTTTTTGTCATGTGCTGCTTGGATGCTGAACAGCCGATTATAATTTTCATGTTTATTACATTAGACCTCAAGGATTGTCCAAAAGTAGTAAGAGATAAAGGTTCCCTCATAAGAAGCAGCAGCTATTCCAGTTAACTGACACTTTATCCCTTCAGTGCAAATTCCTGCAGATAAAAAGTAGGGCATACAAATCTAAACACTAAATGCTATCTTGCTATCTTCTTATTTTCCCGGCTCCTAAGCAAAACTAGATATGAATGCATTAGGTGTAATACACAATTTTGAAAATCTGAGGAAATGCAAGTTCCCTAGTGAGTCAATGTAGTGAATTTTTAAAGTAATTTATTTCAGTGGTAGGAATTTAGTTCCTGATCTTTTTATTCTTTCTGGTGCTGATAAATTAAACCAGATCTTTAAAAAAAACTTTAGTGACTGAGTAGATTTTTCACTGTAAACTAAACTTTTAAATTGTGAATGCCTCATTTCATTTCCATATCTGATTTTTCCCTGCAGAATTCAGAGCCACAGCATTATGGTGTCATTGTCCGCTTATTTTTGTTGTTTTCTACTCTGGTCTTTGCTGGTCTCTGGAGGTATGAAGAGTGGGTGGAATGAAAGTGTTGAAGATTTCTGCTGGAAAAACTCAAACAGGCCTCTCAGAGCAGAACAAACACCAATGCAATACATGTATAAACATTTTAATGAGTGCCAGTTAGCCCCTTCTATAATATATTTCACTCCTTCTTCATTATGCATATGTATTCATTGAGTCTACTTTGTAATGGTTTTACAAATACCTTGTGTTTCAATTAGTACCATCACCAAAGTATAAGTGCTTCACAAAGTATGTGATTCTTTGGGTGCGTCCACACTACATGATTGTAGTGTGATACTCCTTTAACTACCATGGTTCTGTTCTATGGATTTCTGATCTGGGGAAGGACAAAGACCACTCAGGTAGAAAGCTCTAGTTGGCAAAATTAAAGAGTGCAGCAGAGAATTCTTGATACCTCATCAAACTGCAGATTCCCATAGGACAATCAAAGGCAAATAAAGTGGGCCCAAGCTTTTATAGCTGTTCACATTTGTGCTGAAATAGAGTATTATGTTCTTTAAATAATGAAACCGAGTATATAAAAACTGCTCAGAATCCAGCCTAGCCACTTTCACTATCTCAGTGACTAAAAAGACTACTGCAGACTAAATAGGACCTTCTTTCCCCTTTTCCCCTTGATTAAGTATATACTGTAATCAAGTCATTTCTGGATGTGGGTTACTGCTCTGACAGCAAAATATGGGACAGAATCATAGAACTGTAGAAACATAAGAGATGGAAGAAACCACAAGGATCATCCGGTTACCCCACTGCTCAATCAAATACTTCCTACCACTGTACAAAAAATATTTTTTGAGTTCCAACCAAGGATATTGTTAGAAGTTAAATATCAGATTGAAGTCTGTTTTTCCCTAACAGATAATACGATTTAGGTTTTGGTTCTCAGTAGTGTTTTGTCTCATTGTAATGGCTTTCTAGAAAACATATAATAATAATAATAATAATAATAATAATAATAATAATAATACACCAGACATCATGATTGTGGGAAAAAAAGTTCAGATTATTGATGTTGCCATACCAGGTGACAGCCAAATTGATGAAAACAACAGGAAAAACTCAGACATTATCAAGACCTCAAAATCAAACTGCAACTTCTTGTACCATCAAGCCATTTCCAACCTATGGCAACCCTATCATTGGGTTTTCTTGACAAGATTTGTTCAGGAGATGATAGAGTGTGGCTTGCCCATAGTCACCCAGAGGTTTTCATGGGTAAATGGGAATCCAAACACTGATCTCCAAAGTCAGAGTCCAGAACTCAAACCATTACACCATGCTGGTTACTGAAACTGTCATACTTTGGACGTGACTGACTAGAAAAGACAATAATTCTTGGTAAGGTTGAAAACAGCAGGAAAAGAGAAAAACCACATTCCTGATGGATAGACTCAATCAAGGAAGCTGTAGCCCTGCATTTGCAGGACCGGAGCAGTGCTGCTGATGATAGGGTGACTTGAAGGTCTCTCATTCATTGGTTGCCAAAAGTCGAAGTTGACATGAGGGTAGTCAACAATAAAAATGACAAAAGAACTTTCCCCATGATTATAATCTGTGGTGGGGTAAGGAGCCTCATAAAAAGAAGCACTGAAGTTATAAAGGATGTAGCTTTACGGATGAAGGGCTTTGTGTCACATTAATAAACTGTTCTGCATAAAATAGACTAATCTCTGTCCAGCTCTCATCGAGATGAGAAGGCTTCCTCTGCAAAGTACAGTTTCAACTGCAGGTGAAACTTAATGAAATTTAGCACTTTTTCTTACTAAAAAATACTGCTTCTCGTAATATCACTCCAAGTACTACCAGACCACCTAAAATACGAGTATGGCATGGAGAATGGTTTTAACCTAGATTTCAACTTGCACTATCCATCCTTACAGCTATTTAATTGACCCTGCTTTTTGGAAACAAAGACATTCCATTAAACAAATTCAACAATTCAGAACTTATTAAAATAGGATCATAAATACTTGTTGATAATTAGAGGAGAGGAAGGAGGCAATCGAGAAAGAGCATGAGAGTGTGGTACTCTCTCAACACAACAACAAGGGGCCCTTGTTATCTGCTGGGTTTTAGCTTTAGAAAACACATACACATCGTGGATACCAAAATCCATGGATGCTCAAGTCCCATTATATGCAGTGGTGTAGTACAACGGATGATAAGGATGCTAAAAAACATCAAAATAATCCAGGCGTCCCCTGGGTAACATCCTTGCAGATGGCCAATTCTCTCACACCAGAAGCAACTTGCTCCTGACATGACCAAAAAAAAAGTACAACGGTGTCTCTTGTACAAAATCATAAAAACAATCTTTGTCTCTTGTTTTTAATATTTTTTATCAGTGGTTGTTTGGATCTGTGGATATGAAGGACCAGCTGTTTTTTTTCTTCTCTTTCTCTCTCCTCCCCAGATAGAAAAGAAAGCCTTGATTTGAATTAGCATATGCATTAGTACTGACTTTGGAAAAATTAATGACTTGAATTGGGATAAGCATCATCCCCTCTCTGATCCCTAGTGTTTTGTTTCTGAAAGAACTGAAGCTAATCTTAAAGGCCTGTTGCTAAGAATTGCCTTTGTGCTTCTAACACAATTTAAGATTATTTCTCAAGGGCCCTACATCAGTCTTCTCACTTCACTAATCTCTATTCTTGGCCTGGTATCTCAACTGGCTTAAATTTAAGATGTTGTGGTTTGGGTGAAAGTGTACTGTTGTGGGAAAGATATATACCATACATATGATCCTGAAGAAAAAGTTGGCACATCACGTTTCAGGGAATTGTCTTTATTTAAGGGAGAGTCTCTACATATTCCTTGGATCATCTCTGGTGTTATGCAACATGCTTCAGGAATAATATTAAAGCTTGCACTTCTAGAAACTGATGTGAACATCTTGGAAAGGGGAAATTTCTGTTCTTTTTTAAAGGAACAGTTTTTTCTAGTAGAAATTTGGGTGACTGAAAAGAAAATTTATTAATTTCTTTGGCAACAAGTCAGTGTTTTAAGAGAAGGTTTTCTGTATTGTCGAAGTCTTTCATGGCCGGAATCACTGGGTTGTTGTAGGTTTTTCAGGTTGTTTGGCCATGTTCTAGAAGCATTCTCTCCTGACGTTTCACCTGCATCTGTGGCAAGCATCCTCAGAGGTTGTGAGGTTTGTTTTTTGCAGGCAAAACGTCAGGAGAGAATGCTTCTAGAACAGGGCCAAACAACTCGAAAACTCTACAACAACCCAGAAGGTTTTCTGACTTGAACTTACAAAATTCTCTACAAAATGAGAAAATTATAATACCTGTGCATAGTATAAATAGAGAGATGGAATCATTTTGTTCATGGGAACTCCATTGTCCTCCCAACACTTGTAATATTTCTTTCTGCCAAAAATATCTTTTGACTGAACCTGCACTCCAGAAGGTGTCAACTTTGTTAAACAACCTGATAAAAGCAAAACCTCATCCCTTTCCAATAGTTTCAAAAGTGGCCAGAAGTTATATGACTGTCAGTTTTGGTCACCAAGCAGTAGTCATGATGTGGCAGCTGAGGCCCTTTGAAGCTCTGAAGCCCTCCTCCTAACATCTGGTTTAGGCTTTCAGATTCCAGAGCATGTTTGTTTATTCTGTAGATACATATTCAAATCAAATCTGGGACCACATTGCTTGTAATTATAATATCCTATTGAAGAATTCAGTATTTTCAATGAGGAGTTAAATCCAGATATGCCATTGATGTAGAGATACAGATATGTTGTTGGATTACCGTATATACTCGAGTATAAGCCATCCCGAATATAAGCTGAGGCACATAATTTTACCACACACACAAACACCCACACACACAAAAACAACTGGGAAAATGTATTGATTCGAATGAGTATAAGCCAAATGGTGGGAAATGCAGGAGCTACTGGTAAATTTAAAAAATAAAAAGAGTTATCAATAAACTTGAGGCATCAATAGGTTAAATGTTTTTAAAATTTTACATAAATCTGGAAGATAAGACTGTCCAACTCTGATTAAATCATTATTTTAACCTTCTTCAATGTAAATGTGCTTACGTATCCTTCTAATAATAATAATAGAGTAAAATAATAATAGAGTAAAATAAGGTAAATGTAATAATAATAATAATTAATAGAATAAAATAATAAATGTAATAAAAATAATAACATAATAAAATAATAAATAACTTTGACTTGAATATAAGCCGAGGGGGCTTATACTCAAAAAAAAGGGCTAAAAAACCCAGCTTATACTAAAGTATATAAAGTACTCCTTTTTCTATCCCAATAATATATGTTATTCCTTTTCTTACAAAATCTATGGTTTCCATTTTCATCCCCTCCCCCTCCCATACTGCAGGAGTCTTCTACCTGTAACCTTTTCTCTCCCTCCCCCCCCCCCAGCATCCACTGGTTAACGCTTGAAGATCGTAGAAGCTATAGCCTTTTATGATCCTTCTGCTTCCTTTGCAACATTAGAAGTGAGGAAGCCAAATGAGGAGGATTGTGGAGAGTATAGCTTTCTATTGTTCTTCTCAGTGATCCGTGCTTGTCTCTTTTTCCTACATGCAATGTTAGGATCATGTGGATGGGGATGATGAACAGGGATTATGGAGGCTGTGGCCTTTGAAAATCCTCTCTTGGTTACCCACCACTCATTCAACCCCTGTATAGAGGATGGGTGGGGAGAGGAGGTGGAGTGTGGAGTATATTTCTTAATGCCTGGGTTCTGATAGCTGGCTCCTGACAAGGCAGATGCCATTGTCTTGCACCCGCTATTGGAAGAAAGCTCACAGTTTTCCTCACTAGGTTTCTCCTCTGCTCTCCTATCAGCCACTGGCTGTATTAGGAGGGCAGTTGATAGATTCAAGGCCTGCAGGCAAGTTTCACCTATCTGAGGACTAGGGAGAAAGAAAATGAGAAATGAGCTTAAGGTGATTCTCCTTGTCCAAATTTTCAGACACTCTAGAAGCTATTTTTTCACTTTTTTTCTTGAGTCTCTTTACCTGTAGATGATACATTAATGGCGTAGCTAAATCATGAAGGTTTCATATCTAAACCATGAAGGAATGTAACATTTACCTCTGTGGAGGTAATGTGCATACACTATTCAGCGATTTTCCCCATATCTTCAAAGTTTAGGCTGGGGTAGAAAAAGTATAGCAATCTCTAAGGTATTTTTGAGCCCCGAGGACTCCTCCCATGGTCTGTTTTTAATGCCCTCCAGTGGATTTGTTTGAATGAAATTCAACTGTATTTCTTCCTTGATCTATTATAGATCCAGAAGAGGCATTTTTCCCCAAGAGAAATGGTACAGATGTTTACTTCCTGATATCTTCTTGTGGAAAAAAGATTGGGGGGGCTAAAACATCTTGGGTCACTAGGTTCTTGTGGGTTTTTTCGGGCTATATGGCCATGTTCTAGAGGCATTTTTCCTGATGTTTCACCTGCATCTATGGCAAGCATCCTCAGAGGCAGTGAGGTCTGTTGGAAATAGGAAAATAGATTTTTCATAACATTTCTTGGGTCAGCCAAGAAATGTTATGAAATAGCTCCCTCAACCCTTGACGGTTTTGGGGGGCAAGACCTTCAAAGTTTTTTCAGGGAGCCTCGTGAAACTGAATGGCAACAGCTGTTTACTAGGCATGGTTAGGTCCAGTCGGAATCTTCATTATTCGGAATAAAGTTGGAAAAATTTCCTTTTTGAAGTTTGAAGTTTTTAAGAAAACCGGAAGTCCCTTTCCCTTCCGAAGCTTTTTCGCCATTTTTGTTACGACTCATGAATTGAGTTGGAAATTATTCAGCTTCCCCCCCCCCGCTTCTGGTCCCTGGCCTCTGCTCAAGCCAGAGAAGAGTTATAAAGGGAGAAGCATGAATTTGCTCCGCTTCTGTCTCAAGCCAGAAAAGCCAGCCAGTTTTAAACCCAGAGAAGTGAGTTATAAAAGGAGAAGCTTGAATTTGCTCCCCTTCTGTCTTAAGCCAGAAAAGCCAGTCAGTTTTAAACCCAGAGTAGGGAGTTATAAACAGGAAAAGCATGAATTCGTGAATTTCCTCTGCTTGCTTTTACCCCACTCCTGGAGTAAAACAACTACTTTCAAAGTAAAGACCACACAATGAAACAGGAAATAACACTTTCAAACTATTAACGAAAGGATTCGGAAGTCTCGAAAGGCTGGAAAAGTTTTGAACTTTTTTTTTCTGTGAAAATTGGAATTGACTTTAGAATCGAACCATTGGTGCCCCTTACATCCAAAACGAGTTTTGAACCATTTTTTTTGTCAAACAAGCCTACTGTTTACACTTACACAGAAAATGAAAGAAAAATGCTTAAATGAGTTTACTAATATTTTCTGCTTTTAGGAGTGCAGTGCTTCACTCAGGCCATGAGTTTCTTTTGGTCTGCAAGTATTTGTAGGCTCTCCTAATAGACCAAAACTCTATAATTCTTTCCCATTGATGTCCTATTATCATATTTTTCTCAAAATACATGAACAAAACTTGTGTGTTTTCTGAGGTATGCACATGTAAGTACTCTTTCAACTTTGCCAATGACTGGAAAACAGATTTGTTCCCCTAAGGCACTCCAGAACTGTTTCTCAAAGGAATTTTATCCAAAAGCATATGGATTTTAAAATGCATGCCATGATCACTCTTTGGGGAATAGCAAGAGGCATCTAATTCTAAATGACTTCTAAGGGCCCTTCCAGACAGTCCCTGTATCCCAGGATTCAATCCCAGGTTTTCTGCTTTAAACTGGATTATATGCATCTGCACTGCCAGATAATCTGGGATAAATAGAAAACCTAGGATCGGATTTTGGGATATAGGGCCTGTCTGGAAGGGCCCTTAGGCCCCTTCCACACAGCTGAATAAAATCCCACATCTTCTTTGAACTGGAATATATAGCCCTGTGGAGTCTGATAACCCTGTTCATAGCGGATATTGTGGGATTTTCTGTCTTCTGGGTCATATGATTGTGTGGAAGTGTCCTGAGTAATATGAAAGAAACCTACATACATTACTACTATGCTCCCGTTAGACTCAGTGGCGTCACTAGTGGGGCGTCAACTGTGTGAACAGCAATGTGTAACGTCAGAAGAAGTGACATCCACATGACTGCTTATAAATTATTTTAAGAGCCTTTTGAGCCTTTTCAAAAAGTATGTGTAAAATATAGGGCCATATAATAAAATGTGCAACAAAGATATATGTTATACCCTTGGTTTATAACATTTGTTTGGAAACAAGGTTATTCTAAGAAAGTTCTGATTTAATTAAGATCTTTTCCTTTTTTCTGCAGGGTAATGATGTCCGAATTATCGTTGGGCAGTTCAATGAGGAAATGGCAGCAAAAGTATTCTGCTGTGTAAGTACAAAAAGAAAGAAGCAAAATGAGAGAGTGGAGAAATAAAGATAAATTTAAATGCTGTTAAACCATTAATTGTTCATTTAATGTGTTAGTAAATAATAGTAAATTAGGGAAACATGAGCAGAATACTGATCCTGTGGCTTAAACTAAGTATAAAGTGCAAAAGCCATTATACTGATTGCACTGAATTGAGTAAATTATATTTTGGGTTTTTTTTTCTTTAAAGGATCCAGAACTGGGAAAAATTATATTTTTGAAACATGATTTCAACACCAGTCAAGTTTCTTGGATTTGTAGATGAAAAAACAAACATTTCCAGAGTGTGAAGTGATCCAGTGGTAGATTGATATCTGTTCATTAGAATCAACTTGAAAAGTGTAGAAAAAACCTTAAAATTGAATGCTTTGGTAATGAAGGTGGAATGAAATGGAAAGAATGGGGATAGATTTTTATACCCCACCCCAAAAGCAGTTCAATGGTCTCCTCTCCTGCCAAGGTTTTCTTTAAAACTAACCACATCTACAAGCTAAGTGAAATAACTGGGTGAAGAAACCTCGTATAAGTACACAAAAACATTTTAAAAATTGAGATGATTTGAAGGCATCTTGAAAAATACATGGGATAATTATTTTTCAACAGTTTCCATCTTGTGATGATTTTTGTTTTACTGGTGAAACGTAAATCTAACACCCATCAGTTCTAATTAGCTGCAATCAGCAGGTTTAGTGGGTACATCTTTTAATGAGATTGTGTGTCTCTTTAGAGAATAAATGGAATGAACAAAAGAGTCATCTGAATAAATTACTGAATACTTTTATCATAAAGTGAGTGTCAAATAGTAGCTGTAAAATGTTTAATTTGCGCTTTTCTCTTTTTTTATTTGAATAGATCTGCTTTTTGCTCATCTGTTCTGCAAATCTTTCTTTTACATGGAAGCTTAATAGAACTCTGTTTCCACCCAAGCACAGGGTTGAATAAAAGTGACGCAAATTGAGGTGTCATAGTGGAGAAAACCAAGAGTATTAACTAGCTCGGTTGATCTGTATGTTTGTGCCTCTGTTTGTAGTCCATTATTATTATTATTATTATTATTATTATTATTATTATTATTATTATTATTATTACTAGCGGTCCCCTGCCACGCATTGCTGTGGCCCAGTCTGGTGATATGGAAAATAAAGTAAATAGAAAGTGCTGGTTTCTAATATATGTAATATCTTTATGCTTGTGGGTAAACAGTATTTCTTGATGTTTCTTTGTCAGTGTTGATGTGGAGAGTGTCTGGTTTGCCTACTCGGGAACATGCAACATATCATTGTCCTTCTTTAGGGGTCCCTTTCAAATCTATAATACTTTATTTGTGTGTGTGTGAATCATATATCTATCTATCTATCTATCTATCTATCTATCTATCTATCTATCTATCTGGCTCTTTGTCAGGAGTGCTTTGATTATGTTTTCTTGCCCTGGTGAAGGGAGTTGGACTGGATGGCCTTAAGTATTTCTGTTGGTCATGGGGGTTCTGTGTGGGAAGTGTGCCCCAATTCTGTCGTTGATGGAGTTCAGAATGCTCCTTGATTGTAGGTGAACTATAAATCCCAGTAGCTACAAATCCCAAATGTGAAGGTCTATTTCCCCCCAACTCCATCTGTGTTCATATTTGGGCATATGGAATATTTGTGCCAAGTTTGGTCCAGATCCATCATTGTTTGAGTCCACAGTGCTCTCTGGATGTAGGTGAACTCAAACTCAAGGTCAATGCCAATGCCCACCAAACCCTTCTAGTGTTTTCTGTTGGTCATGGGAGTTCTGTGTGCCAAGTTTAGTTCAATTCCATCATTGGTGGAGTTCAGAATTCTCTTTGATTGTAGGTGAACTGTAAATCCCAAGAACTACAACTCCCAAAGGACAAAATCATATTTTTTTGAGTGATGGTCACTCCTTGTGTAGTGAGATGTTTTGTTGCCAAATTTGGTGTGATTTCGTTCATTGGTTCTTTTGTTTTTAAGGTACTCATTATGCACAGAGCATTTTATATATAGATTATTATTATTATTATTATTATTATTATTATTATTATTATTATTATTATTGCCTCTGAGACAAGAGGAGGAGGAGGAGGAATAATCCAGCATCAAACAAACAGCTCTGTTTTTTTGTTATTTCTTTAATTTGCTTTGCCTTGGAGAAAGGAGGAAGGAGGAGGGAAGATTCACCCTCCCTTTCTTCTTTCTCCAAAGGCAAGGCAGTTTCCAAAATCTGAAATGGAGTTCTTTGGAGGAAAGAGAGAAAATCCGAGCTCCAGAGACCTCAATTTCATCATTTTTAAATTGCCTTAAGACCATGAAGGAAGGGAAGAAGGAAAGAAGGAAGGAAGGATGAATCAGCCTCAAATGACTCTGCGAATAGTCTGTGAGGAACACAAAAATACCAATTTTGCCACCCCAGAAATGGGGGTGCAACTATTACATAGGAGAAACTATTATGCAGTAGTATCTTAGCCTGAAACCTTTCTCCACCCATCATCCATGTGCTATCATCAGTGTAGAGTCATTGCTGCAGGGCTCTTGCACAAACATCCTTCCACTAGAAAGCCATTTGATCCAATATCATCCTGATAGGTGAACAGAATACAGACATGTCTCTACCCTCACTAAGTTTTATGCTTGTGTGGGAAACAGCTTGGAAATCTTGACACTCCATTTTAGGCACCCTAACTGAAGAAAGGTGGAATATAAGTGTACTAACCTTTCAGGAAGTGAACACCTCTGTTTATGTTGGAAGCAGTTGGAGCGCTGCAGGCATGAGGAAGAGCAAGCACAGTTAGAAATAAATGGCCAGTGTGTTAGAGCACACTGGGTGAGATTGTATGAGGAACACACTCCAATACTCTTCATGTGAAAAAGGAAAGGAGAAATGCAAAACTGCTAACTTCTTTGTTCTTTTTCTAATATACCAATATTATTATTTTCCCCTTTTAGCTAATTTATAGCAGCTGTGATCTAATGTTTGCCTCTACATCAGGCCTATTAATGTGTAGATTGTGTTAAAATTCAGTGGACGGTACCTTGTATATTTTATTATGTGAATAATAAAAGATATGACCTGTCATAATTAAAATGAGTTTTTCCTTTTATATTTCCTTTTCAGATACAAGAGGGGTTTTTTAGATTGAAATAATGAGTGCTTAACGTATGTAAGATCACTAAACCTGAACAGAATAATTTTGAATGGCTAGTTTGTACCAATAATATTATCTCTTTCTTTCCATTGTAGGCGTTTAATGCACAGATGTATGGCCCTAAGTACCAGTGGATCATTCCTGGGTGGTATCAGACCTTCTGGTGGGAAAAAGCTATTCCAAAGCTTAATTCATCAAACTGTCACACTACAAATATTCTTAGTGCCATGGAAGGCTACATTGGAGTGGATTTTGAACCTCTAAGCTCCAAACAGATAAAGACCATTTCAGGAAGGGTAAGTTAATTTAATGTCTACCCCCTTTTTAAAAATTAAGCCTAATATTATTTTGCATGTATCAACTGTATCATTCATAGAATCATAGAGTTGGAAGAGACCTCTTGGGCCATCCAGTCCAACCCCAGCCAAGAAGCAGGACAATCGCATTCAAAGCACCTCTGATAGATGGCCATCCAGCCTCTGTTTAAAAACCTCCAAACAAGGATCCTCCACCACACTCCGGGGCAGAGAGTTCCACTGCTGAACAGCTCTCACATTTAGGAAGTTCTTCCTACTGTTCAGGTGGAATCTCCTTTACTGTAGTTTGAAGGCATTGTTCCACATCCTAGTCTCCCTATGACTTCCTCTCACATATTTATGCATGGCCCCCAACATGTCTCCTCTCAGCCTTCTCTTCTGCAGGCTAAACATGCCCAGCTCTTTAAGCTGCTTCTCATAGGGATATTCTCCAGACCCTTGATCATTTTGGTCTCTCTCCTCTTGACACATTCCAACCTGTCAACATTTCCCATTGATCTCCTATCAGAGTAAATTAGTAGCCCTATGTTATTAAGATGTCAGTATCAAAACATCTCCAAGATCATCTGGAGAGGCCCTGCTCTTGGTCCTGCCACCTTCTCAGGCGCGACTGGCGGGACAAGAAATAGGGCCTTTTCAGTGGCGGTATTAGATTAGCCCTTTCCTTCCTGATTTTCAGAAAAAAGGTGAAAATGTGGCTTTGTGACCAAGTCTTCAGCAACTAACACAGTGCAATAGATGACTTGGATTTTTTCATATCCTGTGTTTACCCTAATGTATATTTTGTTCTTGTTTGCATTTTATATGATTTTATTATTTGTTGTATGTATTTTCGTTTGCTTTATTGTAATTGTTGGGCTTGGCCTTATGTTAGCTGCCCCGAGTCCCCTTGGGGAGATGGTGGCGGAGTATAAATAAAGATGATAATGATGATTATTATAATGAATGTGTAACAATCATTGGAATGGCCCGACTTTGATCGTGGATAACGTGATTTTATAGCTGTGAGTGGTATTGTTTATGTTTGCTTTTAACCTCATGTACATTTTAACTAAATGTTATTTAATTGTTGAATTGTTTAAGGCATTGAATTTTGCCTCTGCTGTAAGCTGCTTTGAGTCCCCTTCAGGGTTGAGATGGATGGGATATAAATATAGTAAACAACAACAACAAAAATCAGGGCTAAAGATAGAACCTGACTCCCCAAAAGTGGGTATCAGACATTCAAAATGTTCATACTGTCACTACATTAAAATGAAAAAACATTCATTCAGGTGAAAAACCACACAATTTTCAGATAGAAGGCTTATATTTATTGGTACTGAATATTTAAATAAGTCCTAAGAAGGTTAACGTCAAAAATATACATTTAAAAAGTTGCTACTCTCAAAAAGTACAATTTCTCCATTCTTGTCCAGATGCATCCAATTTCCCAAGTCTTGACCTCTAAGAAAGTAGCTCACTAGTTTTCAGTTGGAAGCTGCCCATGTTTTTTTTTAATTTTTTTTAATTAAATTTTATTTCGAAAAGATAATACACCAACCATATATGTTGCAAAAATGTACACATACACAAACAAACACACATACACAAACAACCCTCCATACAGTTACCCCTCCACCCACCCCCAGTGCTACCCACCACCTTGACTTCCGTCACTAATCCACGCAGGATTTATGCACAACTTATTTAACCCTCTATACTTGTAATTCAATAAATTCCTCTTGTTTTTATTTCTTTAGCTCTCCCGTCAAGTATGCTAAGGCCAGCTTCCAGTTTCTTTCAAATATTTCATTATTTTCATATTTCAAATTGCTTGAAATCTTAGCCATCTGTGCATAATCCCACAATTTATCCTTCCAATCTTTGATGCTTAATGTTTTCTCCCCTTTCCAATTTTTGGCAATTGTAATGCGTGCAGCCGCAAAGCTGTACAAACAGATTTCTCTCTCTGGCTGTTCTAAACTGTCTCTGAATATCCCTAATAGGCACATCCCTGGGTTCTTTTTTACTTTGTTGTAAATCATTTTATTTGTTTCCTTTATTATTCTTTTCCAATAGATCTGCACCAGTTCGCACGACCACCATACGTGAAAGAAAGTCCCTTTCTTTCTTTTGCACCTCCAACAGGATCCTGTTTGTGAATTGTCCATTTTGGCTAGGAGGGCTGGAGTTATGTAGCATCTGTAGAACATTTTATATACATTATCTCTAATTGAAGCTGCCACTGTAAATTTAAAGCCATTGTTCCACAGGTTTTCCCAGATGTCAAAATCTATGCTTCTCCCTAAATCTTTTGCCCATGAGATCATGGGGGTTTTAACACGATTATCTTCCAAATTATAGTGTAGAATATATTTGTATAATCTGGCTATTAATCCTTTTTCCCCTTTATCTAATATAGTTTCCAGATCTGATTTTTTGGAAGCAAATCCCCTCTTCTCGTCTTTTTTGAATCTTTCGTATAATTGATGATATCGGAACCAATCTTTAATACCCAATTCTTCTTTTCCCCTCAGTGCCCATTGGCCATTGGACCTGATAAGTAGTTCCCCATATGTTCTGACATCATCCTTGCAGATGGGTCTCCCAATGGCTTCTATTGGCCTCAGCCACAGGGGTGTTTTGGGTTCCATCCCTAATTTGTATCTTTTCCAAACATCTATTAAGCTTCCCCTAATTACATGTTTATTGAATGCCCATGTTGATTGGCTTGGGCTTTTCACATCACACACCTATTTGCCTCTCCAGCAGAGTTTAGAAAGAGCTTACAAACAAGTAAACAACTTTTCACTGTTTCTGTGTTTCAATATGTATTTAAAAGAGAGGCCTGCCTAAAACAGGAATGGAAGAGAAATGGGCAAAGTAATTTGCTGGAGGCATTGATGAAAATTGCAGGAATCTGGGGTCATCCAGTGGAGAGAAGCAAAAAAAACATGCTGACTTGTGTTTTTAGCTAATTTGTTAAAGGCATTGTATGTATGTACCCAAAGGGCAGGACCTTTTTTTATTAGATCATTTTCTGTTAGTGAACATGAACAATTTTTGAGCTCCATTTAGCAAATGAATTTCACCATGGTAACAATGCCCTAAACAACATAATTAAGATCCTACTTATTCTACATTTAAATGTAACCAATATTATTCAGAATCCCAGTTGTGTGCCATTCCTGCAGTTGGTGTGCGACATTACCCACTGTTATAGATATGGGGTGAGAAGGTGACATTTTAAACTAATGAATACCACTTCTGCATGGGGTTTTCAGGAAAGAAATGCTAGGAAATTGGTACTGAAAAGCTGATTCTCCCCCGAAAGCTCTATGTCCAGCTTTAGAAGAGCCCTCTTTCCAATAATTCCTCTGTTCACCCAAGCAAGCTCTGGAACACTCAAACATCAGGGCAATTTCTGACATGAAACAATCAGGGCTAGCTAACACCTTCCAACAAAGGATTCCATCAGGCAGGAATCAGCCAGACTTTGAAGCTGCAATGCCATTCAGTGCTAATCAAGGTGGCCAATTGCAACATTCACACTTGCCTCAAGCAGTTCTTTCTTCCACCCTGGACATTCCACAGATATATATACAGTGCTTGCCTAGTTTCCAACAGCCCAGAAAACTCACAGCAACCTATTATTATTATTATTATTATTATTATTATTATTATTATTAACACAACAAGATGAGTCCACAGCTGACACTCTGCTGGTTGTTGAATTGGATCACACATCAGACACTTCCCAAGTGTCTAGGACTGTGTGATGTATCGGCGAATAATGCGTGCAGATCCCAGTAAGGTGGCCTTTTGCAGCTGGCAGATGGTAATTTTGTGCCGATTATGTTTAAGTGCGGGCCAAGGTCTTTATGCACTGCACCCAGTGTGCCGATCACCACTGGGACCACCTTTACTGGTTTGTGCCAGAGTCTTTGCAGTTCGATTTTTAAATCCTCATATCTTGTCAGCTTTTTCAGTTGTTTCTCTGCAATCCTGCTGTCACCTGGGATTGTGACATCAACGATCCATACTTTGTTTTTTAACACGATTGTGACGTCAGGAGTATTATGCTCCAAAACTGTGTCTGTCTGAATCCAGAAGTTTGGCATGTTCATTCCCTGTAACTTTTTCTGGCTTGTGATCCCACCAGTTCTTTGCATCAGGCAGATGGTATTTGTGGCAGAAGTTCCAATGAATCATCTGAGCAACGGTGTTGTGCCTCTGCTTGTAGTCTGTCTGTGCGATCTTCTTGCAGCAGCTGAGGATGTGATCTATTGTTTCGTCTGCTTCCTTGCAGAGTCTACATTTGGGATCTGTTGTCGACTTTTCAATTCTGGCTTTGTGGCATTGGTTCTAATGGCTTATTATTATTATTATTATTATTATTATTATTATTACATTTATATCCCACTTTATCTCTTCCAAAGGAGATTCAAAGCATGGCAGGGGGGCAGACTGAATGGCTCTTGTGGTCTCTTTCAACTCTGGTTCTGTGTTTTTGACCTTTGGGTTCTCTTGTCTAAAGCTGATGTGAAGTATCCTAAGGGATATCCTTCTCGCTTTGTAGTCCTGCATGTAAGGAAGGTTTAAGCGAGAAATTCCCTTTTTATAACTGTATAACCCAGTACTCAAGTATGAAAATGAAGAATTTGCATTTGAGATATTTCCTTTTTTCCTGCCTGAGTCACCAAAATGTAGCTGACATGCTGTCACAGCAGTCCATGGAGCTGGTATTCTGGTAGAGGTGATGTTTCCAAAGGAGAGAAGGTTTTGCCTCTGTCAGTGCCTCCTGTCAAAAATCAACAGATCAATAATGGTGTATCTGCCAGCTTACCGCTCAGCTGAGTGCTAAAATGTAGTAGAGGAGCTGTCACAGAAACATAATGTCAACACCAAGGGGCAGGGCATGTTGTGCTCATGGAAATGGCAACCTTTCCTTACATTATCCTGTATAATGCTGCTCAGTGCAAATGGCTATCATAAGCAGCTGTTTGTATAACTCTCTCAGAAGATGAACCAGCTCAGAGAAGAAGAGCTATGCTTATATATATATATATATATATATATATATATATATATATATATATATAAATGTTCTGTGCATAATGAGTACCTTAAAAACAAAAGAACCAATAAACGAAATCACACCAAATTTGGCAACAAAACGTCTCACAACACAAGGAGTGACCATTACTCAAAAAATTATGATTTTGTCATTTGGGAGTTGTAGTTGCTGGGATTTATAGTTCACCTACAATCAAAGAGCATTCTGAACTCCATCAGCGATGGAATTGAACCAAACTTGGCACACAGAACTCCCATGACCAACAGAAACACTAGAATGGTTTGGTGGGCATTGACCTTGAGTTTGGGAGTTATAGTGGACTCAAAGAATGATGGACCTGGACCAAACTTGGCACAAGCACTCAATATGCCCAAATATGAACACAGATGGAGTTTGGGGGAAATAGACCTTGGCATTTGGGAGTTGTAGTCACTGGGATTCACAGTTCACCTACAATCAAAGAGCATTCTGAACCCCACGAACGACAGAATCGGGGCAAACTTCCCACACAGAACCCCCATGACCAACAGAAAATACTTAAGGCCATCCAATCCAACTCCCTTCATCAGGGCAAGAAAACGTAATCAAAGTCCCCCTGATAAAGAGCCATCCAGCCATAGATATAGATGAATGGATGGATAGAAAGATAGATAGATAGATTTGATTCACACACACAGAGATATAGTATCATAGATTTGAAAGGGACTCTTAAAGAAGGACAATGATATGTTGCATGTTCTAGGGTGGGCAAACCAGACACTCTCCACATTAACACTGACAAAGAAACAGCAAGAAATACTGTTTACCCACAAGCATAAAGAAATTACATATATTAGAAACCAACACATTCTCATTACTTTATTTTCCAGATCAACAGACTGGGCCACAGCAACATGTGGCAGGGGACAGCTAGTAATATATATGGAATCATAGAACTGGAAGAAACCACAAGGGTCATTTAGTCCAGCTCCCTGCCATACAGGAAAAGCACAATCAAAGTACCCCTGATGGATGGCCATCCAGCCTCTGTTTAAAAATCTCCAAGGAAGGAGCTTCCACTAGACTCTGAGGCAGAGAGTTCCACTGTTGAACAGTCCTTACAGTAGGGAATGCTAATAATAATAATCATCATCATCATCATCATCATCATCTTTATTTAATGCCCCGCCACCATCTCCCCTTACATGAGGCCAAGCCCAATAACATATTACAATAAAACAAAAACAAAACACAATAACAACACAGTAAAATACATACAACATATGAGTACAAAAAAACGATAAAACAACATCTTACACAATAAAATAACAATGAGCGGGCCACATGTGCAAGATAAAAAACTAAAATACTAAAAATATTAAAAATCAGGATGAGATAGGGATGGAGCAGATTGTTTGTGAGGGAGAAACTCATAAAGAAACGGGGTCGTAAAAATAGACCTTCATACAGGTGGGAAAATATACTCTGGGGACAAAAAACCGTTGAGGGGAGCAACTGTGTATGATAGTATGGCTACTCTCTAAAAGCGCATCGAAAAAACCAGGTTTTGAGATTCCTCTTGAAAGTTTCTAAGGTGGGGGCTTTCCTAATCTCACCGAGCAATGAGTTCCAGAGTCGGGGGGGGGGGCACAGAGGAGAAGGCTCTCTCCCTTGTGCTTACAAGACAAGCCTGTGATAATGGCAAGGGCGAAAGTAGAGCCTCCCCCGAGGATCTAAGAGCTCGGGCTGGTTCATGGAGAGAGATCCGGTCACAAAGGTCCTAATCCGGTCCTAATCTTCAGGTGGAATCTCCTTTCCTGTAATTTGAACCCATGGCTCTGGATCCTAGTCTTCAAAGCAGCAGAGAACAAACATGCTCCCTGTTCATTTTGACATCCAATCACATATTTATACATGGCTATCATGTCTTCTCTCAACCTTCTCTTCTGCTGGCTAGACGTACTCAGCTCTTTAAGATGGTACTCGTAGAGATTCATGATCTCCAGACCTTTGGTCATTTTAGTCTCCCTTCTCTGGACACCTCACAGATTGTCAATAAATTGTGGTGCCCAGAATTAGATCCAGTGTTATTCCAGGGCAGAACAGCAGAACAGAAGGGCACCATGACTTCCTTCAATCTAGATCAGGGGTCTTCAAACTTTTTAAACAGAGGGCCAGGTCACAGTCCCTCAAACTTTTGGAGGGCCGGATTATAATTTGAAAAAGAAAAGAAAAGAATGAATTCCTATGCATACTGCACATATCTTATTTGTAGTGCAAAAAAAGCACTTAAAAACAATACAATAATTAAAATTAAGAACAATTTTAACACATCTAAACCTATTAGTATTTCAATGGGAAATGTGGGCCTGCTTTTGACTGATGAGATAGGATTGTTGTTGTTGTTGTTGTTGTTGTTGTTGCTGTTGTTGTTGTATGCTTTCAAGTAGTTTCAGACTTAGGTTGACCCTGAGCGAGGGCTGGGTAAATGATCTTGGAGGGCTGCATCCGACCCCCAGGCCTTCGTTTGAGGACCCCTGATCTAGACACTATACTCCTTTTGATGCAGCCCTAAATCCCATTGGCTTTTTAAGCTGCTGCATCATATTGTTGGCTCATGTTTAACTTGTTGTCCATGAAGACTCCCAAGATATTTTTCACATGCATTGTTGAGCCAGGCATAACCCATCCTTTATCTGTGTATTTTGTTTTTTTCTACCCAAGTGTAGTCCTTGATGTCCCTGTTGAAATTAATTTTGTTAGTTTTGGTTCGGCTCTCTAATCTGTTAAGGACATTCTGAATATGCATTTTGACTGTATGTGAATGGCCCACCTATGTAAGAATGCTGATCATTATCTGAGAGATGATGAGCTTTTCCTCAGACATATGTATCATAGCATAAGAAGCTCAGTAGCCTAGGAAGAAAAAATATTGTGCATTCTCCTGTGCACAGTAGAAATGAATCCAGTTGTGTTTGTGTATGTGCACGTAAGCATGTGTGTTGCAGTTTGTTTTGGGTTGTTTTATATTTCCCAGAAAATGTTTACAAACACCCAATGCAAATCCACAATTTCTGTGACGCTTCCAGCACGACTCTATAATTCCGATACCCTTGTGTAACTAAACATAAATGTGACTAACCAAAATGCATAACCAAAATATGCAAAAATGATCCTTGCTGCTATTACATATTTTCTCTCCTGAATCAAATAATAGATGCTAAATACTTTGGGGTGGGCAGGTCTCCTCCCTTACACCATGTAAAGTGCCATGATATTGAAGGGTCTGTAACAAGTCATAATATGAAGCACTTATTGTTATTTTTCTGGAGCTGTACATGGTTCAAGAGGCATCACTGATTTTGATGTCAGTATCCAATTGTGATGGTTAGAGATACAGATTTTTAGTGTACTTCCCAGTTAATCTGTCTTGTATCCCTTCCCTACAGACTCCACAGCAATATGAAAAGGAGTATGATCAAAGGCGTGGGAATGTTGAGCCAAGTAAGTTCCATGGCTTTGCTTACGATGGAATATGGGTAATTGCCAAAACACTGCAGCAAGCAATGAAGATTCTCAATGCCACCAACAAAAACCAAAGAATCGAGGACTTTAACTATACCAACAAAGACCTTGGGAAAATCTTTCTGGATGCAATGAATCAAACTAGCTTCTTTGGTGTAACGGTAAGCCTGTCTCAATTATTTTTAACTGAATTCTGTAGTTGTATCTTTTCTGGGAAATATTTCAGCTGTTGGCTAGTAGAAGGAAAACAACATATGTGGGGGAAAGTTCTGCTCGCTATCGTTCAGAAAAGAATGAATTGTTTGGTATATGAGGCTGAATGGAAGATCTATTACTTTGCTGATTCTTAGTTCAGCAGGTTTGCAGGAGACATCTGGTCCTGGTTGAGATGATCAGGGTAGCTGGGGAGCAGCAGAAGTGTTCGATTTCTCTGAGACTTTCAGAAAAGAGTCATGGGAGAAATGGGGATTCAGATTTGCACTTCTGAATGCAGAACCACCAAGTTGCTTTTCTTTCTGCACCCCAGGACCATTTTATATTTCATGATGTCTGTGTGCCTGAAAGATTTTAAACAAGATGCAAACGTACACTATAAAGTGTGCTCAACACTTGTTGGAGAAATTGATCATAGATTAGATCAGTGTTATTCAAGGTGGTATCTCCAGTCCACAATCAATTGGCTGCCATTCTCTAGTGAGTTTCCAGGAGAGAAAGAAACTGTTGTGGACAATGAGATCAAATACAGTGCTGCTCCATGGCACAGTAGGGAAAAAGGCAGTCTCCCAAATTAGATAGCGTGAGAAACATGGAACTAGATAGCAAACCCGGATTTGCAGTCTTCTAGTATGTGAAAAATTGAGCCATCTGAGAGGCTGCAGTCTTTACTGAGCCTTATTCAACCTTACAGCTAAGCCTCATAGCTCCTCATGCAAGGAAAGTTCAGGTCACTAACACTCTTTTGCCACTTAGCCATCTGTGCCTTCCCAAAGGGCTTTTGAGACAGTTTTAAAGGAAATGCTGTGTTAGTTTCCTGGTTTGTTTCTGCTTTCTGTTTGTTTGTGTTATGTTTTATTCGTTGCACTATTAAGAGTTCACTGGAAATCTTTGGCTTAAAATAGGGGTACAAACGTCTATCTTCATCATACATAAATACATAAATAACAATTAATCATTGGGGTGTAATTCTAAGTAGTAAACGGTACCCTATCCCAACGATAAAATCTTGCATTATATACTATGTGGCATAATAACAAGAACACATACTCCATATATATGGCAGGCCATAGTTGGTATATGGTGATTCATAACACAGTGATGGTAGTTTGCACAGTAAAGATTTATGTGTAGTCAGGGTTCACATATTATCTGGTGATTTTCCTTCAGTGACAGATGTAGTCTAGGCCATAATATTTAGCACAACTTGTCTTTATTTGCACACAGAACACATCAGGCAATAATTCAGAATTTGAAGCTCACGTTTCCTTATTTTACATGTTTTATATGGTCTTCTCACAGAAAAACGCAACATTTTTTCCTGTTCTGAAAAATGCTTAGTGAGCCCATAATGCAAATGTAATATTTTACTTACAGGTTTATCATACTGTCCTATACCACCAAGTGCTAAAGAGCTTAAATAATTGAGGAATGTCATGTACATATATCCAGCATTGCTCAGGTGTCAGAGAGGCCTATGTCTCCTTACTTTCCCATCTTTCTCTTACCTTTCTCTCATACCTTCTTCTCCTCTCCCTCCTTCCCTCCTCCTTCCCTTTCTTTCCCCATATGTCTCTCTCTCCTTCCTCCCTTCTCCTTCAATTTCTTTCTTCTCCAACTCTCTTTTTGTGTCTTTCCTTCCTTTCTCCCTTTCCTTTGTGCACATGTCATCTTTCTTTCCAAGTCACAATACAGGTGGACACTTCACCTAGCAATAACCAAGCCAGTGACATTACAGAAGGCCACTTCACCTAGCAACAGCACTCGTGATACAAACAGACATACTTTCACACACACACACACACACACACACACACAATTCCTTATAACTTAGAATTTATACTTCCTTTATAAATCCTTTGAAAACAAATCTGCTCATAGAATCTGGTTCTTGCTCTGATTCCTCCTGTTGTTTTTTTCCATTTCACTGAGTCTGGTAAATCTGAAAAATCAGAATAATGGTGGAATTATCTGAATGTCTTGTGCAGATGAAACAAATGGAAATAAATGAAACAATTAATAAATAAATGAAATAAACTGAAGTTGACTTACGCAAACCTCACAGGAATAAATAGATGCTGTGTAAGGGATTGTTTATGTTACAATGTAGACCCTGGGATATGCTTTGAACAACATAGAGAAAAAGAGAGAGAGCATTTTAACATGATAGCATGTTCAGACATTTAAGCAGCCTTAGGGAGGTTCTACACAGACACTATAATCCAGTTTGGACATCAATTTACACAAATGGTAATCTTTTTGCAGTGCTTACACAAAAACCCCAGGAACTGCTTCAAGAGTGGGGCAGTGACTACAGTATTCTCTGAATGCAAATCAGAAGTGTTTTTATTGTGTTTTAGTGGTTTTGTATGGTTTTTTAAATATTATATCCTAAATGTTTTAATTGTATTTTATGTCTGTTGGAGCATCGAATTGTTGCCAACTGTAAACCACCTTGAGTTGCTTTGGGCTCAGAAAGGTGGTATACAAATACCATAAATAAATAAATAAATAAATAAATAAATAAATAAATAAATAAATAAATAATCCAGGAATTGTTTCCCTAACCAGTTGGCTGAGATGTCCTGTTTTGCATATCCATGTCAGTTCAGGATCCGCATTGGACCATGGCAGGGCACAGGAAAAGAGGACAAAGGGGTGGAAGGCAAGAGTTTCAACGGGAATGATAATGGCTTTCCTTTGGGGAAGTGATTATTTGCCTTCTGGTTTAGCTCTTGTTTCAGATTTTTTTAAAAAAATTAGCACTATTAGTGTCCTGATAATTGTTCTACATTTTCCTTTCCATTTCGAGCTCTGCATGGGACATACTGGTCAGTTGCAGTGCATTTTCTGTCTTGTTCTGGACTTTCTGAGGAGTTTTTTTTAATCACGCTGTTTCAGGCTTAATACATGTACATTTTGTGGAATACCCCCCCCCCCCCCCCCAAAGCTGGCTTCAAACTGTCCTCAAACTGTCCTTCCTGGAGGAGGATTTATCTGGCAAGAAAGATGAAGAGGGCAGCCCTGGCAGCAGACTCTACACAGAACCAGAAGAAGTTGGTAGTCCTTCCTTAGAAGTGGAACTGGTGGCACCAGTGCATTTTAGCAGTGGATCAGTTTGGATTAGAGCTGATCATGCTATCTACTCTCCAGAGCATTTCCTAACACCACTTAATGCGATTTACCCTAGACTATGGACCAGAAGTCTCTTGTTGTCATCTGGATATCCAGGTTCAACTTCTGGTTCACTTTGGAGGTAAAGATCTGGTAGATAAGCCATAAAGCAAAAGCAACAAAATAGCATGACAGACTTTGATGAGCTTTACAAAGGAAGCACTGAGGTATTTTTTTCTGGCAATCGGCACAACCAAAGTCATCTCTTTGCTGCAAAACTACATATGTACTGTGTCTGCTTTTAAAAAAGTAAAGGTTTCCCCTTGACATTAAATAATTTTTTTCATTCAAACTAGGTTAAACAGCTCACAGAAAAGTTCTGTGTACAGTTTTTCCATCCACTTGAAGATACTTGGACTTTTGTAGCACAGTTAAATGCTGTAGTCATATTCAACTCTGAGGGTGGTGCTCACCTCCATTTCATAGCCAAAGAGCCAGTGTTGTCCGTAAACACCTCCAAAGTCATGTGGCCGGCATGGAATGCCGTTACCTTCCCAACGAAGCTGTACTATTGATCTATTCACATTTGCATGTTGTTGAACTGCTAGGTTGGCAGAAGCTGAGGCTAACAGTCGGAACTCACCCCACTCTCCAGATTCAAAATGCTGACCTTTCAGTCAGTAAGTTCAGCAGCTCAGCGGTTTAACCCGCTGTGCCACCGGGGGCTGCTTTGCATTATGTTATCATGTTATTTCCACAAATTCTCATTTTCTGACATTTAGTTGCTCGTAGGACTCTCTTCAGGTTTTTCCTACTTTGCTTTGAATTCTTCTTGGGTTGCTTTTCATGTTCAGAGCTAGATTGATTCTGCTTTTGCAGAGCTTCTGTGTTTGACTTGGTTCTGGATGGGTTTCTCTGTTGCTTGTTCTCTTGAATCAAAGACACACTCTCCTGGGCACTTGAAAAGGACACCCTGCTTCTGTAGTGCTGCGCAGGCCAACATTAGAAGCCCAAGCAGAGCAAACTTAAACTTTATCTTTTGATTATACATATCTCTTCATAATGGAGTTTTGTATTAAACCGTAGCCTGAAAAAAGAGCTAGACTATATTTATGAACTTTAATTGTTGACATTAACTGTAGCATTGTGGTGGGTTCTGCGTCTCATGTCAGTAGGACACTGAACTCCCATAGCAGTGGTGGCAAACCTTTTAGAGACAGAGTGCCCAAACTGCAATCCAAAACCAGATATAAGGTGAATAGGCAAGTAGGGAGGGAGGGCAAATGGTCAGGTGAGTGGGGATGGGGGGTGACATCCCCTTCTGACACATGTTCCATAGGATCACCACCACCAAGATCGTCTGGAGGGGCCCTGCTCTCGATCCCACCGGCCTCACAAGCGCGGCTGGTGGGGACGAGGGACAGGGCCTTTTCGGTGGTGGCCCCATGACTCTGGAACTCTCTCCCGCCAGAGGTCAGAACCGCCCCAGCAATCCTGACATTCAGGAAACAGGTGAAGTCGTGGTTATGGAGACAGGCTTTCGAAGAATGAGGCAACGATCTGGATGGAAGACGGTGTATATTCGATATTCGAGTTTAGTATGACGACTGACCACTGTAGTTTTAAATATATGTGCTTTTTTAATGTTTTATTGTAATGTGCACTTTGATATTTTACTGATTGTATGTGTTTTTATGGTTGAAAACCGGGTTGAGTTCCTCTTATGAGGTGAGAAGCTCGGTATATAAAACTTTGAAATAAATAAATAAATAAATAAATAAATACATTTCCCTATAGCATTGGTTCTCAACCTGAGGTCCCCAGATGTTTTTTG